TTCTTGTGCATGCGGAGTTGAAATTTTCCCTTGATCTTACCAGGGCTTTCCCTCTCCCTCTCCTTCTCCCTCTCCTTGCTTAACTTTATGGCTCAACATTTAAAGAATTCAAGGGTGTGTAGAAGTCAGGCTCATTGCTTATTTTAGTAAGAAGGGCCTCCCATAACCATTTAAAAACTAAGGTGCATTTGTCTATGCTGTTCCCTCCCTTTTTTTGGAAGCTCAGCTCTTTCGCAGAAAAAAAAAAATCCCTTTTCCAAACTGGCTGGCTCAGAGGGGTAAGGCAATATATAACTCCGCAGCCCAGGGATGCAGCTGCCCACCAAAATGGGATTGATGCTTTTTCCATAAACCTCATCACACTAAAAGAATCACTGGACAAAGCAGACCTGTTTGTGCCACACACAGCAGCAAGGTAATACATGTCCCCTCTATCTTACAATTAGTGACTTTAATCCCCTCCTTAACTAAGATATATACTAATGGCACTTCCTAACTGTTATAGGGATATCTTATCCTTTAAGGGGGTTGGGCTGAAATGTTTCCTCTTATTTATAAAATTTCCTAGCAGTGCAGAGAGTTAATGCAGAGAGCTCATTCTCTCTCTAGACCTTGCAAGACCTATTGCCTACAATTTATCAACCCATCTAGCTTTCTTATCAAAAATCTGAAACTGAATATGCTCTTGCCTTTAACAACCTTCCAGGAACACAGTGATAAATGCTACTTTTTAACAGAAGACTTTTGTAGACCAATGTAGAACAGGAAAACATTTATCAAAAAAGGGTGATGCCGGAGCGTGCTGACACAAAGGAAAGAGAGAGAAAGAAAAAGTAATAAAATAGTCCTGAGACAATTTTTTTTTTCTCTTTTATTCAATACAATTTTAATAGCAAGTACTTCAGAAATGTGAAGACATTATTTGGCCCATCTTCTGATAATATTTTTAGCTTGCCTAGATATATATATAGGGAGATTTTTTTAATATGGTGCATATTGTTTCTTATTCACAATGATCTTCTAAGACTAGGAAATCAGAAGCCCCATACAAAGAGCAGGTAAACATGAAACCTATCACTAAACCAGGGGATTTTGATTTGAAAAATAAATTGCGTCATTTCACTAGAGAAGAGACACAGGACTCCTTTGCCTGCAACTATGATAGAACATTGCCTTCAGAGCTGCAGAGCAGGAGGGGAAGATAGGTTCTGCCTCTGCCTCCACCCCTGGCCCTGATGCACCCCAGTAAAGAGGAGAGAGGAGCCTCAAACAGATGTAACTTCTCAAGTTATAGATTTGGGGCTCCTCTCCAGCTTGCAATATGGCAAGTGTGGATGCGTGCAGGGACCTGTCATTGCTCAGGGTGAGGGTACAGCTGCTATTTCCCACTGCTCAGAAAATCTTGTGCCAGCACATTCCAGCAAGAAACCAGGCAGGAGCAAGCCATGCAGCAAGTGTTAAGCCAGCTCTCAAATCGTAAGGGTTACAAGAAATTTCCAGGGGTGGAGGAGTTATTATTTCATTTCTTCTCTTGTTGCACTGACTAATCTACAGCTACTAACTGCTGTAGATTAGTCAGTGATAGATCTGTACTTCGATATGCAGTAGCAAAAGGTCAATTGGGGTAACTTCTTCTTTTCCCGCAGAAAATGCTGACTTCTTGCCCTTGGTATTTTGACAAGTTTAGGCCCATATGGCTTAAAAAATAAATAAATTATATAATCCAGTCTTTCAAGCATTTAATGAACATGACCCTCCAGTTTAATCTTTGCAGTTTGCATTGTTTTCAGGAAAAGGGAAAAGCAAAATAAACTATGTTTTGTATGGCTGAGTTTAGTAACCATAAAAATGTAAGCTGCAAAAAAAAAAAAATGCAAGAATGGTTGAAAGCTTTGTTAAATACACTCTAAGATTCTAGGTTTATTGCAAAAGAAGCAACCATTTTTTGGTCAAAATTATGCATTTGATAGTTGAGCAAAGCTTACTTCCAAATAAATTTAAAAGCACAATTGTTAAAAAACAATGGCAAAAGTATTGTAGAAGACTGGCTTCAGTAAGTTCTGTTACTTGTTTTAGCAAAAGCATTATTTCCTCCTATTCTTCCTATCACTGAAAATCAGACATGAAAAACAAAGCAAACAATAGAGATATTCAATTTATCAATATAAATCGGCCTGGTACTGCTGTAGCTAGCACATAAATTGCATGAGGAAGAAATATACATTATGTTTCTTCCACTTTTAAGAAAATGCTGTTCAATTAGTCTGGACTACCACAGAACCCATTCCCTTCCTTTGGAATATAATGAGGGAACAAGATATAACATCTGAGGGACTCTTGCCTTTGAAGAACATGACAAGTTTTGAATAAACAAGAATGAAGATGTGAACATTACTGGGTACCCTTCTTTTCTCTGTGGGGAACTGAACAGGCCTTTTCCTGTCTGGCTGTTTAATTTGCTAATTTGTGGAAGTCTGCTCTGGGAGATGGAATGCATATTTGTGTGAGCATCCAGGAAATGGGAAGGGAGAGGAGAGGAGAGGAGAGGAGAGGAGAGGAGAGAGAGGAGAAAAGGTGATGGCAAAATGGTAGAAAATGGCAGATGGCAAGGGGTGGTTAGGAAGCCTCCAGTAGCCTCTAACTGTGGGCATGGTTAATCTGGCATGTGTCTTCTTCTACCGTGTTTGATAGAATCATCAACAGCACCTGGGGCAAGACCTTTCTTGTTCCTTAAATTGTGTGTTTAATCACTCTGTAGACATTATTGTAGAGTTTCTAAGTGTTGGGAAGGGAGCTTTTGTTGAATGCAAATAATTCCCTATGTTTTATTTCCTTCTTGGGCAACATTTTTAAAATAAATATTTGAGGTATGTGGGTGTTTTATTTGTTTTATTTCCAATATGTTATATACAATGTCCATGTGGTTGCATACATGCACAAAAAAACCCTTTCTATCTATAAAACACAATATGATATATAGTGTGTACTAAAAACTTACATGATTATAACATTTCAGGACAGCTGGTGAAACAGAGCAATTCAACATAATGTTCTCCTCTATTTTTTTGCAGAATAATATTTCAGGAAAATGTACTAAAACATTTTGAATGCAGACAGACAAGGAGTTATGCAACAGAAAGTGGTTTAATTGAAGTAGCTAGCTTTGCAGGCAATCATATTATGTGGGTTGAAGAGGAAGCAACTAAACAATATATTCTGTGCTTTACTTCCTTCTTTATTCATAGAATCATTACTGGAGCAGGTTCTTGTCTGTTGTAATTCACTATAACTTCTTTGGCTCTAATGCAAAAATGACAATTTATATCATGTACAAAGAGCTGAGCTGAGATAGTTTCTGCTCATCAAATTTTACAGAGCTTGAATTAGCTTAAAATTCAATGCATTCTTAAAGTGCTATTGAAACTTTTCATGGTTACCTTTCACAAAAATTTCCAGAAGTGGGCAGTGTACAAAGAGCACCCCTCAAACTTACATACAGGGCAAACTTGTTTTCAGGATTATGGAAAATCCTTTGTTAGCACGTTAATCTTGTTAGTGAGCAGTCACATCTGTGACAATGTCAAAAAAAGCTTGGGGAATGTAGACGAACCGTCCTTCCAATTAAGTTTCCCACTTACTGGCCAGTAAATGTCTGTATTTTTTTGTTTTATAAAACAAACCGTAACACCTAGACAAAGACCTTGACACTTTATGATCCATATTATTATTTACTATTCTTGAAAAGATCTGGAATAGAAGTTTTTAAAACACTGAATTAAAATTATTTACTAATCTCTGTAATTTTCTGATATGTGCAATTTCCAATTTGCACAATAGAGTGTTTGCATAATGAAAGTATGTGATTGGCAAGGCTTAGTCAACTCATAAAGCCATTTAATGACTGACATGCAAGTGATAACTAGCTAATTCAGCATATAATCACACTATATCTGCTTACCCAGATGATAGACAGTTTTAACACTTAATTTTTTGTTACAAAATTTACTTTCAAATAGCATGTAACATAAGTGATATAGAGAAACTCAGAATAATCAAGATTTTTTTGTCAAGTCTGATTGCTGAGTAATGATTGCACTTTCAATTTGAAATTAAACATACTTTAAAAGATGATATGTTTAGAAAACTTTAAAATATTGTTCTAAACTTATGTTTTAAACTTGTTAAAAACCCCAAACTCCCCATTTTCTAAACAAAAATGAGACTAGTATAAGCAATATGAATAAGAACTCCTAATTTGTGTCTACAGGTGCTGATTGCACTAAACTCCCGTTTCAAATAAATGTAACTCAGTTAAACATAAATACTGTTCAAAATGAACTTCAGCATTCTAAAATAAAGGTTGTAAAGGCTGACTATTCAAAAACTGTAAGACACAGAGGACATGACCTTCTGAGGAAACACTTGAAGCCCTGCTGTTCTGGAGGAAGCTGCCTACACTGAAGTGTCTGCAGGCTAAAATGTGATTCAATAGTGTACATCCTTGCTCATCTCTTCTTAGAAGTGGACCTTATTGTTTCTCTATAAAACCTTTAAGGCATGTAACGAAATGCAAAGTTAGGCAAGAAAAATCTCTTTACATGAGACAGCAAAACCTCTTTATTTTCTCTCTTCATTTGGGAAGAACAATGGTGTTTGCCCTGCTCTACACTCTCCATAAGCAGAGGGATTAAATCTCAGTTCTGCTGACATATATTATGGGAGAGCTCCTGTGCTCCCCTGTCCACAGAAGGAAAATGGGTCTTAGGGGTAAACCCCAATTAGAAGAACAATTCCTGACTCTGTAAATTATCAGGAGTTTGGTTCAAACACTTGAGTCTGCCCAAGAGATTGTAGCTGTTGGGAAAGTACAGATCTAAAAACACAGCCCAGTGTCTTTCTTGATGTGAATCTTATCACAATGACCTTTTCTATTCAGTCACTCTCCCAGACTCATCAGGATTTTTATGGAATTTCCTACCACCTTCTGCATTATGCATCTTTTATAACATCACATACATGTCATCGTTCATTAAAATATGGAAGCCAGCGAAAGGAGCTGTAGTGTTGGGTGCTGGTATCAGGCAGGCAGTCTCAGTTGCTTTGCCATCATTATTTTCAGCTGCTCCTGAAAAAGTGAAGATCTTTTCCAAAGGCCCCTGTTTGTCACTGTTCTTCCCATCCTCTTGCTGGCTTTCTGCCTCAGTGATGGACTCTGGTTCTTCATATTCCAGCTTGGTTTGCAACACCACATGGTCATTTTTGTCTAGCCATTCCTAGAAAAATTAAAATGTTAATGTTGGCAGAGATAATTATCTGTCAAAAGAAACCTGGTTGTACAGATACCAGTTACCAGCTTTCATATTGGCATATTTCCAGGATAGGCCACAATGGAGAAGATGAAATGGAAGCAATGTAGAGAAGCAGGACATGAAATAGCAGGACAGAAGAAAGACAGAATGGCAGGAAAGCAGATAGGATTCCAGAACTGCATACAAACTCCTACTTATATTCTTGAGACCACATAAAATAAATTTTTGTATTTAATTAGGGCCCTTAGAAAACCTTGGATGTGTAAAATATCTGGTGTTCCCTCTTTGATAAACTCATGATTTCTTTGACCCAAGCACTGATTTAATCTAAACTAAGATTAAATTCAGATGAAGATTTAGGCAAAATAGTATATCTGTATTAATTCTTCAGTACTAATTTGAATTTGTATCTTTTTTCTTCACTTTGAGTTTAAAGCTATTTTTTATATAAAGAGTTTTCAGCTTGTCACTGAAAAATTATTACTGATGTTTGATTCCACTGGATTTGAAAACATAAATATTTAAGCATAAACATTTAATGTTTCCCCTTTAGAGGAAACTTACTAGCAATCAAGGTAAAAACTAGTACAACTAACACAGAAAACTACACCACATATGTGATGTCAGGGACTCATAAGAAGTATTAAGAAAACAAAAGTAAGAACTGTAATCTATTAATTTGATAGATATTCTGTGCCTAAAGGTTTTGTGAACATGCTATGGCTAAGGCTGGATGTTTCCTATTGTGACTGAACCTCCAAAGGTGTGAGTGTCATCACTGTGCCAGCACATCACAAACATAAAGCGCAAGATCAGGTGGAAGCAAGCTCCCTGACCTATCATCTGCAGGAAAGGATGCAAACACCACAATGTCATTTCAGTGGATATTGTTCCTCTCAACACCCTGAAATTCATCTCCAGCAGTTTCTCTGTCTCTGTAGCAAGTGTCTTTTCGCAGTCCCAAAGCAGCACTGCACCGATTTTATGAGCTTTTGCTCCATGGATCCTCTTGGTGATGCTGCACAAGGAGAAGGGTTTTGAGGCTTTTATCTTGGGTCAGAGACTCCTTGTAGTAATGTCTGTGCAGAGCAAGAATCAATAGCTACCTTCAAATTATTCTCAACATTTTGGAGTTTGCAGCTCAGCTAAGGTGATTTTTACCTGTAAGTTTCCATTATGATCATTAAAGAGATCAGCAAATGGGTATTTTGGGTCTGGTATAGCAGGCAGGACTGACATCTGAACCCTGCAAAAAGGAAAAAAAATACAAATAAATGTTTTGTTATAGCACAGTTATTCATACAAAAATCTCTTTCAGCACAGTTCTGTACCCACAAACATATTTTACATGACTGTACTCTGTTTTTGATATCTTTTAAATGTGTTCTAAAGTAAAAAAGCAGTTATAACAGTCTGATAACACCATTAGGCTAAGAGACTTTTTGATAAATTTTCAACCCAATCCCAGTCTAGCAAAATCCAGACTTTACACAAACTTGCAGTTATTCAGCACATGCCATTCTGCTCGATGCAGTAGTCAGAGCTTGCATTCTCTGGTTACCTTCCCCTAGACAGGGAAGATCGTGTAGCAACCAGCTGTACTGGCTGAGTTAGTGGACACAAACATAAATGTGAACCATAGCAGTTCAGGAGAAAAAAACTTAATTTATGAACTAAAAGGGTAATTAGAGTCACAAATGTGTTCATCTCTGAATATATGCAATTTTTGGTGCTTTTTTTTTCCACCAAAAAACCAAAATCTGGGGCCTTTTTGGGCTTCGTAGTTGTTTGGGATTTTTTTAAATTATGAGTTTTAAACATGAACAGCATTATTCAACCGCCAATCTAAATAATGATACAGTCTTATTAAAGTTAAATGCACTCAAGTTTACTTTATCCTACTACAAACAGACATTTTGATTGATTGATGAAGTTTGAACAAAATAATGTGCTTTCAGAAGAAGTAGCTAGTAAAATTGGCTTCTCAGAATTTAACTAAATTTCTTAAAAAGAGAAGAAATTAAGTGGAAGAGACAGAATTTTATCCTGAAACATTGCCTTTTACCAGAATTGTTCCAATTTTGTAAATGAAAGTCCTGGGTATTTGGAAGGCCAGGATGTATTATTCCTCAAATAGTGATTAAGCTGCCGACTTTTACATCTTCACCATGACTTCATTTTCTTGATAAGAATTTTCATCAAAAGAGGCTTCATCCAGAATGACAGCTCTATTTTCACCACATAGTTATTTAGTAGTAACCAATAAAACTATATTTACCTCTGCCATTTACACAGAAGGATCAGGAGGATAAGCATCATTAAGAGTACTGCCAGCGAACAACTTAAAATAATTACTGTCTTTGACTGAGGAGTTATATCATCATCACATGAATCTAAGAATAATCACAAAAAGAATATCTCAAAAAAAAAATTTTTGCTTTAACAGTAAATGCTCCTAATCATGCAAAAATGTTGACTTTTCTTGAAAAAAAAAAAAAACAAAAAAAAAACCAAAAAAAAACCAAAAAAAAACCAAAAAAAAACCAAAAAAAAACCAAAAAAAAACCAAAAAAAAACCAAAAAAAAAAACCCAACAAAACAAAACAAAAACAAAAAAAAAACACAACCAGAAATGTTTTTAAGGACAAATAAGACAAGTTTAATTTTTCAATTGAGACGGAAAAGAAAAACTCTGCTTCCCCAAACCTTGCAACAAAATGAGATTGTGCTTTTATTTATCTAAATTGACCTAGTACAGGACAGCAGAGAGGGCTTATAGGCAGATGAATTATGAATGAATCAAGTATTTCTACTCACCTTCATCATATTGCATTAACAGTGATAAAGCAACTTTGTGCTAAGATCTGTATTACAGACACCTACTTACACTCACTAAAGCTGCAAATGCAAGTTTACACATAGCCCAAATGTCTTAGCTCCCAACAAAAAACAAATAAACAATCCCAGCAAACAAAGAGCCAGAAAATCAGAGGAGTTGATACCCAGAAAGTAACTAGGGGCAGGCTAACACCTTATATACATGCAACTATATAAAACTAATGAATTCGTGCATTTTTCTGCATTCTCAGTGTTCTTCCTGCAGCTTTTGTAATGCCACCTCAAACCTCTCCCTCCTACTACTGGCCTTCTGGTCTCCACAGAGATGCCGAAACCCTGGATGATTATTCATACAGAAGCAACTGTCCAGACTGTTCCACCTCCTTGCTGTGTTTAGCTGCCAGGTAACAACAAGTAAAATTGTGACCCCCCGGTGCTAAGTGAGGTCTTCAGAGTTTATTAATTTCTTGAATCTTCATAGCTTCATCTGATTATAGATTTGAAGTAAATAGCTCATTAGTCCTGAAGAAAACTGCTTGCCCCAGTGAAGGAGCTGTGTCAATGTCACTTCTGATTCAAGTGCACACAGAATCTCTTAACCATTTAGACTGTCTCCTCTGTGATGTTCTTCCTTGCAGGTACCTGCTGACAGCCTCTGGTCAAATGGTTCAGGTAAGGCTGATGAGTTGTCTGCTCTCAGAGGTGCAGAGGAAAACATTGTCCTTATTTCAAAGGGCATTTGCCAGCCACACCTGAGGATGTGCTTGCAGGTCTCAGTTTGCATAGGGGAAGGGTCTTCTCTGTAGGTCTGTGGCCATGTGTACAAGCTACCCATGGTCCAGGATTTCATCCCAGCTATGTTTGTCTTCCAGTGAGCTTAATAGCCCATTGCATTTTAGAGAATTCAAATCTTATTACACTGAACAACTGAGAGCTTCATAATTCTGATGAAGTCTAGTGGGTGGCAGTTTGTGCTATAAATGTGTTGCACAATGTTTTTGTTCCCATAGAAAATCTGGGGTTTGTTTTTGATAAGCAGTAGGAATACTGTTTACATTGACAATCTAATTAATGTCAGTCACCCTCAGTTAAATGCAACTGTCTGCTAGGAAATCAGTGCTGATACTGGCTTTGCTTCCCTTCAATCTCTTTTTCCCCATCCTCCTCGTTTTGATCAATCCAGCACCCTTGAGCATCAGACTTTTGTGACCTGTGGTCCTGTAGTTCAACTGGATGTACTTGGAAAACAAACTGCCTTCCAAAATTGGACATTAGGGATTTTCTTAGAGTTCATATTTGATGTCCAAATATCATATACGGGCACCCCCCCTTCAACACACACACCCACAGAGTCCTCATGCATTATATCACTATCACTGGGGGATCCTCAGTGCTATCATAACACAAATAATAACACTCTTAACTTTACTGATTATGACATTAATTGGTAGCTTCAGGGGCCATCAGGAAAAAAGCAGACAGAGTTAAATTAAACAGGCTCAATTAAACATTCACATGAACTTTCTTTGATAACACAAAATGGAGAACAGTAGTGCAACATTCATTTGCTGCATGTCCTCAGCTTCTTTTGCAGTCACCCCTTCTTATTTTGCACTTAGACTATATATACATACATATATATATATTAGCTGTTACCTAATAATGTGCCATTCATCCAAAACGTTTCAGCTGCCCAGTCACTGCTGTATTTAACTACGTTGCAGTATGGTACCAGCCTCCTCAGCCTGACCCGGAAAGAGTAGCACTTCCTTGGATCAAAGCCTTGCTCTCCAACACTGCAGCACTTAGAAGTTCTGGACTGGGAAAGAAGGTTTATCATTGTCAATTCTGGTTTTCAAGACAGTACTTCAAAATGCTGTACTCAGTCATGATCACAACTAGGACAAGGAACAGGTCAATCCAAAACCTCAAACAAATGTTACCTTCTCTGAGTTTTGAGGAATTCTGTTTCTTGATTGGCTTTTGACTAGTCATATCCATTCCTTGTTGTATGGTATTGAGTTGAAGTTGTAGTAGTAATGTAGTTGTAACATTACAGTTGCATATTTACAATATACAAAGACACTCCAATCCACAAAATATGTTCAAGTTATATTTGAGAATGGAAAGGTTTAAGTTAGTAAAATAATATTTGGAAATACTTAACAGCTAATTATAGAATAAATAAGAATCATGTGTAATTTCTTTTTTTTATACTGTTACATTACTTTTTCTTTTTTTTCTCTCTTCTTTCCCCTAATCTCTTTTCTGATCCTATCTTTCCAAACTCCTCTATTCTAAATGTATGACTTTTCCTTAGATTGCTCACAGCTCTTAGGGTGGGTGCTGCCTTTAACTTATAAATTATTTCTGGCATAGTAGAAACCCAGGGTTCTAAAAATCTAGATGTTTTCTGCTAGCAGATATATTTGAAAATATAGGATGGGAGAAAATTTGGAAACAACCATATTTTATATTCTATGGAAATGCTACTTCAAACTCCTACTAGTGTTGAATAAAAATGTGATGTCTACTGCTTTCAATGTTGATTAAAATGTGACATGCAACTCACTTGCCACTCCTTGTCAAACTTGCTTTTGTATTGCAGCTCAAATCTCAAGCACCATGCATTTCTCTCTGGTTTATTACAGCTTACAGTAACAGTGTCCTCTTCCCAGAAGAAGGTCACATTTTCTGGTGGTCTGGGCTTTACTGAGAAGAGAAATAAATTTTGCTGTAGCACCCTCAAATGCACTTTACAGATAAAATAATTTTTCCTTCCTTGGCTCAATATTTCACAGAGTAGTAAGAGAAGAAGGTGGACTTTCTTCTTGGAGGTTTTGTTTTTGCAGCTGACCTCTCTATTAAACATCAAAGTGGAGCTTGAGCCCATGACACTTCACCATTTGAGGCACCACATTCAAAGGCAGTAGCTGTCTCACATCAGGAGCCTATTCTAGCTACTCAAGGAAAGGACTTCAGTCTCCTCACACTCCCTGCAATCCAAAGAAACAAGCTTCCTCATGGGAAATGAAGAGACAAATTCACTACCACAGAACCTCCAAGACAGAATTTTGCTGTGCTGGAGGCTATGTGGGACATGATGGGGCATCTACAAAAGCCCTGGGTTCCTTTCTATGCACAACTGAATCTGCCCCTCACTGTTTCCAGAGGGTCTGAAAACAACTCCATGGTTTGACCTACACAGCTGGTAAGTTTTCGGCAGTGGGAAATGCAGGGGTGAAAAGAGTGCTACCTGCTTTCTCAATTCTTCTGGTTGCCTTCTTGTATTATGAAAATTCTGCCTTCCTGATTTAAAGTCTGATACTTGATATTTGTCCTTTGTTACCTAACCTTTTTGAAATTAATTTTGCTATCAGTGGGTGTTTAACAGTGAAAATTTGAGGATCAGGCTGCAGTTTTCCATAATTTAACAGATACTGGTAAAATTCAGAGATATAAAAGCATTCTCAAAGTTCGATGCCTTGACAGATTTGTGATTAATCCCTTTTGCTAAGACATTATTAATAAGTTTGGAATATATATTTTTTCAGATAATTCTCCATTGTATATATTCTGTGTGATTTCTATCAGAAAAAAAAAAAAAAATTGCTCCTCTTTGAATGATGTTTGTATGCAAAATTCCACAAGTTTTTGATAAATTAATCTCACACTAGATGTTAAATATGTATTTGGGGACAGTAAAGAATTAATAAAAACAGGAACATCATCTCTCTACTAGTAGGATGTCCCTTTTCCTCTGCCAGACTGTACCATAGCCACTCAGCTAATTTCTATTGGCATCAATGATGATTTTGTGACAGCATCTTTGACAAGAAGCAGTTTGCTGCCTGACATTGCATGAAAGATGGCAAAAGAATGAAGGTTGAAAGTATGAGAAATATCACACAGTCAGCACTAAGACAAAAAACTATTCATTTTCTTGCTCAGCAGGCCTGCACTAGATAAAGAACACCCATATATACACACATTTAGTATTTTCCTTTGGATTTTGAAATTGTATTTTGGGACAAGTCTGACTGTCCTATATTATCTCAATTAACTGCAGCTGCACACAAGCCTATGTAACTACAACAAGGAACAAAAATCAGCATGAAATAACTGGAGTTTTGTTTTGACGTGCACACTTATTTTACATGCCATATAATTGATTTCTTCTCAAACTTAGAGAACTGGAAATCTGCCAAAGTAGTTATGATTTTTCATACTTACTGTAAAAATCAGATTTTAGATTTTTAGAAAAGATCTCTTCACTTCCATTGCTGTTCCTGATAGAAATGGCGAGGGTAGGTCCTTCTGTCTTAAAAAGACATCCAGAATTATAATCTTGATCCAATAAATAAGTGGTACATGGCTTCCAAACCTTGTTTTTGCCTTCTCCAAATCTGCAAATGAAATAATATTGGTAAATGGAAAACTTAAAAATTAGTGCAATTTAATTTTTTTTTTTTAACGCTCTTTTTTTTTTTTTTTTTTTTTTTTTTTTTTTTAAATGCTACACCGAGACAAGTCTGAGCATGGTTTTTCTTGAAGTGACAAATTTCATAGTGGCGTGAGGGAATTCATCACCCAAACTTCACCTAATTTCCAGCCCTGAGTTTGGATGCAGTCTGAAATAATCAAGTTTTGTTCATGCTGTTTTTTTCTAATAAGGGAATGACTTGCTCAAACAGATGCTCTCATGACCCTATTTTCAAGACTGTACTGTGAAAAGTTCTTCCACATATACAACCCAGAAAGAAAAGATAGGCACTATGACTGTCTTTAACCAAAATATTACATTTCTGTTAGTTATTAATGATCTCAGTTAATAAGGAAAATATATACACATATGTAGAAAAAAAAACATTTTCAATAGTGCAATTAGCATCAGCAATGCACAGAACAGGGACAACAATGACAGAAGAGGGACAAATCTTTCATATCATGTCTGTTGTGACTGATTACTCACCAGGTTTCTTGATTTGTACACTTCTGTAGGTTGTGAATATAAACAAGTTTCATGCTGGCTATTAAGAAATGTTAAAAGAATTTCTAGTTCATAGAAGACTCAAATGGACTTGGATATTTCATTCTCCCTAAGTAAATCCTTTAGCAAGAGAGGAATAGGCACTGCCAATACTCACGTGTAAAAAAATGACACGTTCTCATTGGGAAAAAGCTCTCTTGTTGCCCATGTGATCTGCATCTTCTCGTTATTGAAGTTGATTATTGTGGTGTTGATGGCATCTTTCCCACCTGCTCAGGACATTTATGGATGATATGATTTCAGGAGTGAGTATGAAAAGCGTCCCTTGTAGGTAATCAGTATTTCTAAGATGTGTATGCAATAGGTTCAGATGAACATAAAATAAGAAGACATAAGAACATCCAAAATACAAGGAAATAGAGTAAAACAACATAGAGAGGTTGAAATTAGAATTTCAAAATAATGAAATGAAGGCATGCACAGAGACACAGGAGAGAGACTTGGCCACATGGTCCTGGGGCTAAAAAGAGTACACTGGGCCATGTTCCTGCACTGCATGAGGGGTACACCTTGAGGACAACTTTCCCCAAAGTACCTGCTGAAGAAAACTGGGAACTAACCCTGTAGGGAACATCTGTGTAAACTGTCAGATGTTTGCTGTAAGAAACCAGGAACTAACACCAGAAAAGCAGACCCACAGGAACACAGAGCAGATCAGCACAAGTAGATGTATTGCGTGTTTGATCTTTGGCCCATTCCACCTTAAATACATGCGCCATAATTTAATGTCCCCTGACTGCACTTAGATGTTATTTCCTCTCCGATCATCTCCTTGTTACTCTTCTTGCTAGGGACACAGGATTCCACAATCAGACACTGAAGATAAACATGACATTGAGGAAATTGAGAAATTAAGAAGGCAGAAGGATTAGAAATCCATTCTATTCAAATATGATTTATTTTGTATTCTATAAGATATGAAATTGTTTTTACTTGAGTGAATAAAGGGGAAGAAAATGTATCATCAAGAAACCACTTGAAGGTAAAATTTTCAGACTTCTCTCTCCAGCTGTGAATGTCTACCACTAAAATTATTTGCTGGAATATTCCTGTCTAAAAGGAATTATAGTATTTTAGCTTTGATTGCTGCGTACATTTTATGCTCCTCTGGACTTTTGAAGGGGTTTAAAATTTTAAAATATTTCTTATGGGCTTTTCATCATATCCAGTCATTCTGATTATTTCATGGTAATCAAGAATAACTATTCTCATGTTTGTTATCTTTTGCTTTGTAATCAACACGAAGAAAGTGAGACATGGGTTCAAGTAAGCATTTTGCCTATATGGCATGCCTATATCTGTGTCTAGGTGCTTTATGACTACTCTAATTAGAGTTATAACATTTTTGTGGAGGTTTATTTGTATTGTAAAATAACCATTCAAGACAGTTATGACAAAAATCCAGGACATATTGGGTAGATGTACCTTCAGGTTGCTGCTATGTGACTCCTTGAGCTGTGGAAAAATGATTCTGCTCTTATTCAAGAAAAGGACTTGAAACTATCTTCTCCATCTCTTACCTACTGCCTGCAAGCTTGTTTTGTTTTGTTTTCTCAAACAGAAAGTCTTGTTACATGCTGAGGCAAAACCAGAAGTGAAAAACCTTAAAAGGTATAATAAAATGGAGTTTATCCAGCCAGTTCTACCTCTGTTACAACAAAGTACCTACACAGCTCATTTTTCATAAGACTTCAAGCTCTTTGTAATTCCCTTCTGTAGCTCTGAGAGATTATCTTGTCTTTTACTAAAGCCACTAAGAAATATGCAGGCAAAGTGGCTAACAGTGGATTCTTGGTCTGTGAGTGCACTAACACATTTTAATTTTTATGTACTACTTTAGCAATGTTGTGCTGTGATATATATTGTGCAACTGAAATCCTTTAATTTTTGGACTTAGATTTTCTATAAAACTAGTTTAATGTATATTTAATGTGTATTACGTTCATGTTCTCCATCCTTAAATAAAATTGACATAATGAAAAAGCCTATACATGTTAGAATGGAGAATATTGAACTGTTCTGAGATAATTTTTATGACTATATAATGAATCTTTTCCATTCCCCTTAGAAGTTACAAAATGCATACTTTCTACTTTTAGATAATTAGTCTGATTGCCTGTATTTTCACTTTGAGAAAGAACTGCTAATGATCATGCTTCAATTATGAAAATAAGAACAGGAAGAGTACTTTCTTAATTACATATTTTCAAAAGTAATTAATTTCAAAATTAATTTCTGATGCTCTTTCTATGTGTACAATATTTGGACAGAACGACAGAAAGCATAATGTTCTTTGTAGGGTGTGTTTTTGAATCTTCCACTAGACCAGGCTGCTCAAAGCTCCATCCAACCTGGCCTTGAACAATTCCAGGGATGGGGCACCCACAGCTTCTCTGGGCAACCTGTTCCAGTGCCTCACAATGCTCACAGTAAAGAATGTTTTCCTAACATCTAATCTAAATCCAGACTCTTTCATTTTAGGGCCATCACCCCTTGTCCTGTCATTACATGCCCCTTATAGAAAGTCTCTTTCCATCACAATTGATCTGAGGTGCTCAGTCAATTTGGTCACAAGGGCTGTGCAGGTACAGAACAAAAGAAGGAAGAGGGAAAAAGGATAAAAAATACAGAACACTGTAATACATAAGTACAGAACACTGTAACAGTGGCAAGGAGAGGAAAAGTTTGCTTTAAATAGCTCAAAAAGGAAAAAACTGCAATGCTATGGGTGTTATCCCACCAAGTTTTGAATATTATAATGTTTATTCTTTCTAAATTCATTTTATTGCATTGGACAGTATAAATTACTTTTTTTTTCTTTTTCTTTGCAAATTATTTTTCTGGGGAAATTGTTAGAATTAAGAGGGATAGCACTGGTTAATTAATTGTGAGAGGGAGAACACAGAAATTGCTCATCCAATTTTTTTTTACACATCTGACACATCTAATGTGGTGACAAAATTTAGACTGATTTTGCCTCTTAAATAGGTGATCTATGCTTGAATAGAATCTCCTTGAACCTGTGACTATATATCCTACAACCTGCCAGCAGAGAAGTAAAGACCTGGTAAAGTTGTAAGCCACCCTTCCATGTCTGTGCAGGTCAATTGCTGGAATCGTTTTTCAGGGTGCCACATTTTCCCTCAATACCAATGTGAAAAGGACACCAGCATTAAAGCCCTGTATCCCATAGCATTCTTCCAAGAGGGAGTTTGATCTCTCCAAACTCTCAGTGGGTTATTTGAGGTATGACTGCTCTAGAGATGGATACTAGTAAGGCAACCAGAGGAATCCCATGGCATTTCCACACAGTACAAAGTGGACACCGACTAGCCTGTTGGAAGGCACCAATTAATTCTGAACCTTAAACAACACTCTTTACTCTCTATCTTTTCAAATATATTATTACTCTACACTAATTATTAGAGGCTGCAATTCAGAGGTGAAGACTAAATCTTGGGTTTGGCAATGAACATTTTTGTATGGCAAAGAATATCAGTTTGACTCCAGTCCTGCAGTGATTTATTCATGGACCTCACTCTGAATAGTTGACTTCAACAGGATTGGTCAGATTGTATCAACTTGACAACATAAATAAATATCTCTAAATCAGAACTTTTTTTCTGCAAAATATCCCTACATATAATAAATTAAAATCCTGGGATTTAAAAATAAAAGTATAAACTCCAACAACTGCAGTTATTTGTGTACTAAAAAGGAAGGCAATACATTATTAAATTCTTTAACAAGAAATAGAAAGTTAATTGAAATGGAATACAGATTATAGTAAACCATCTGGTGATATATACATATTCTTTCTTGTGCTCCAATTTAAAAAAAAATTCATAAGAAATCAGTGTCGACATAATTAAGTAGGTATGTAGGACAGAATCTTACCAATCTTTTATCATTAAAGACTTTGTTTTCAGAGCTCTAGTCAGAGAAATTTTCTTCTGTGCTTCCTAATTTCATGAGTTGTGAAGCCTTTTTGAATGTAGTATGAGTTGTGCTTTTTGTAAATGTGCAGTAGGTATTTGCATGTATCTTTTCAAATTATAACCTATATTTTGTATAATTTAAATTTCAGCATGAAGGCATGCATAACCTAACTGAGTTTCTTTAAAGTTTAGCTTAAATTGGCATCAAGTCCTCTGAGGATATATACAGTTTATCTCAAATATATTTTTTCTTTTTGATGATGTTTCCCTTGTCATTAACTGAAAATTTATTTGGTTTTAAGCAATTATACACCTATACTTCTGCAGGCAGAATCATTTGTATCTTCTGTTAGTGGAAAGAGAAAGAGAATAGAGAAGACCATTTCTCTCCCTTAATTTATGATGGAATTTGTTTTAATTCAGCTGTGACATCATGGATCATTCCTAGCTGATATGTCAGCTCTCCCACATTAATTGCAAATATTTAAAACCTTCTTCTAATTGTGATCCTGGAGGCATACAACACACCACAGCAACACATTCATAATTATTCTTTCTATTATAATAATGGATAGATGAAAAGGACAGAAATGTTATGAATAGACAGTCCCTGGGCTAAAAGAGGTGGCACAACTTTCTGTCTGAAGATGACCTGCTGGTCTGCCTAGGTATGCAGCATGCTGCAGTGCTGCAGGATACATACCAGTGCCCTGGAGCAAGAGCTTCACAGAGAATTATCCAAGCCTACACCTTCCATAAAACCAGACAGGGACTGGTAAGGTGCCGCACAAGACTTGAACATCACAGGCCCTGCTGGCCACCTAGTTCTTCTCAGGACAGAGAATTGTGGAAAATACCACTATGGTGTGTGGAGAAAGTAGTTCTGTAGGGAAAAAAACCCCAACATTTGCTTGAGCAAAAAATTATGCAAATATAACCGTGAGAAAGAATATGAGCAATTACATTCCATCTCCTTTCTATTTTTCAAAGTTTGTCACTGAGAAAAGATGCTACTAAAAGGGAACACGCAAAAAGGCTAAATGTCATGGAACAAATTTAAAAAAAGAAAGGGAGAGGCAGAATATCAATCTTCAAAGATAACAGAATGAAACATGTATGTACTGGAACAGTTGCAACCTCATTGATGCATAAAAAAGAAGAAAAACCACTTTTGATTTCCTTACACTGATGAAACCTGATAAGTAACCACATGTTGAACCTCCACATATTGCAGTACACTGTACAGAAACTACTGGAGAACAAGACCCAGATCTGAACTTATAGTCTTTAGTTACCATTAATGTTGCTGAAGGACAGGTTTGTTTTTTTTTTTGATAGGAGCAAATGTAGGCGAAAGTGCCATTTGTATACAAGGCTGCTGAATTGAACACATAGGGCAGAGAATGAATAGCAAACATCTTTTCGAGAAGAGGAAAAAGCCAGCAAGTGAAAGTTTTTTATAGACATTTTGAGACAAGGTATAATTCTTATAGCATAATTCTTAGAATCTACCCAATTGAGTGCTTTGGGGTTTTTCCCAGAAGATTGCTGACCATTGCCAGGCATCACAACACTGCATAAAATAGGCACCACAGCTCTAATTTTCAAATTTTGTTCCAAAAAGGCATGTCATCACCACTGCATGGCTATAGGTGATTGTCATCTCAGGGCAGAGAAGTCAGCTTCCCTCACAGGACAGCCAGTGACTCACAGGGACAATTAACTCTGGGGAATCAGGTGGTGCAGCATTGCCAAAAATGGTATTTACCATATGTATGGCAGAACATATAGGTGACTTATAGGTTGATAGCATGAGATCATAACTTTAAAGAATTTACTTTTCATTATAAAATGAATGACAGGGAACTTGTGGGAAATTAACTAGAGTGAGGATTAGATTTTTGATGCAGGTGTTGAGCTTTACATTTGATTTCTGTAATAATGCATTTATCTCTGGCAAGCTGTAAGTAATGGCATTGCAGACAAATACCTAAGACAGAGATGTTCTTAGGCAACCGAACAACTGGTCTTTAATAATTTTGCTGTGTAATAGTATTTTTATCTTGACGCTTTCTCAGGAGCAAAGTATTGCTGATCTTTTCCCATAGTGTTCATTCTTTCAGAGTACTAAGTGCAGAAGCCTTACGTTGAATGTGTTTAATCCTTCTTTGTTCATTGAAGGCTAGTCTTTTTTGGCTGCAATCTACTCTGTTAGAAAACTTTCATAGAAATCTGTTTTTAGAAGACCACTTTTATTTCTGCTGGATATTAATTTTTTTTGGTTCAGTCTTCTAATCAGAAAAAGCACTGAATATTGTAACACATGAGGTAAAATATACACAGAAACATTGCTAGCTGATATATCAATTTCTAAATAAATATATGGGGATTTCAACTTACCAGATGACTGTGACTGACAAGCCACCATGTTGCCTAGTATGAAGATCATTGAATATGCTTGAAAGATGGGTCTCATGGTTGGAATGACACAACAGACTGTGAAGAAATGAGTAATCATAATCTCTGGATTTACTATTTGATCACTTTATACCAGATGCTGGAGGGAAGTGCAGGAAATGACAACAGGAAATAAAAAATGGCTTATCTATAGCTACAAACAAATCAGAAGTGCAGGACCTTCTTCAAACAATGAAAAAAAAAATATCAGAATATGTGTCTCTTTTCCCAGCTGTATCTTCTCACAGCTGTATCAATCAGAGGAGACCACAGACCTGATGCAAATCAGAACAAGGCAGCTGTGCAGAGGTGTGACCACACAGAATCACAGAATCAATCAGAGAGGCACAGAAGAGGCAAGGTTGGAAGGGACTGCAGTGGGTCGGTCATCTGTTCCAGTCTCACTGCTCAGGCAGGCTCATTCCAGAGCACATGGCACAGGATTGTGGTCAGGTGGTTCTTGAGTATCTCTAGTGAGAGGGACTCAGCACCCTCTCTGGACCATCTGTTCCAGTGTGCAGCCACATGCACAGTAAAGCTCTTCCTCATATTCAGGTGGAAATCTTCTGTGCATCAGTTTCTGCCCATTGCCTCTTGTCCCCCCAAGAACAGCCTGGCTCCAGCTTGGCACCATCCCTTCAGAAACTGAGAGACATTGATGAGGCATCAGAAAATGCACAGTAACCTTCTTCTCGCACAGGGGTTCTCTTGGCAGATGATCAAGTCAGTCATAGTGCATGTGAAGTGCCCTGGACACGCTGACCATGCTGCCTGAGACTCCTCAACTACATTTTGCTGCAAATTTCTCAAGAGTAGGAGCATCTCTGCTACTACATATGGATGGCTGGGAATACACCCAGAAGTGCTGCCATGATATTTTTTTAGGCCTGTTTTCATTCCTCTTAGATCCCTACCTAAAATGTTCACAGTCCCAACAAAACTGTTTATCCAATGAGACCTTTTTCAGCTTAGTCACATCATCAAAGTCTGTGTGTCCCAAAAATACCCATTCAAATCTCAGTAATTCTTGGAAACCCCAGCACAACTCTCTGACATACATACAGTATTATGTTAACTGTCTGGTCCCTGCTTTGATCAAGTTCCTCCAGGGAGTCATTAATTCCTGGAACTAAAGTAACAAGCAACACAAACGTCAAATACTAAACTATGTCATAGGTGATAGTTAATGGAAAGTTAATATCACTCACGGTTTCCACAGTTAGCATTGCAAAAGTCAGTGAGATAAACAAAGTCAAAGGTACAAAATCCTCTGGTTCCTCAGGACATGGCAACCCCCACATGTCGCCCTTTGGGTTAAAACCACATTTTTCTTCCACAAAATGAGTCTTATCTGTCCTTAGAGAACATGTGAGTGTGATGTAGCCAAATTTGTCCCCTTCTGCTTTTCACACAGGTAAAATACACTGGACTTCAGAGCTCCTATGGTAGTTCATTGTTAGGAGGGAAGGGATAGAGGAAGACAGCAAAGGAAAGATATCTAAAATACTTTCTGGATTATAATTGTTTTGATTTTGAGACACTGCATCTCAAACAAGGTCTAATTATCAACCAACAGCACCACATTTTCACTCACCTTTTCCTTACACCATGTGTGTTGGTACCACAAGTAATTATCCCTCCCACCAGTCTTATCTTCTTTTTCGTAAGCTGAGGTCAAACAAAAATGAGTCAAACAAAATCTCTGTTTTTACTACTTTGGAACCCAAACCTAGGTCTGAGGACCTGGGGAATAAAAATGACATCTAGGTCAAACAAACTGCTTGTATTAAGCTGGTGCACTCTTGAGCTATTTTTGCTACTGCTGAGAGAAATATCAGATTTGGCACTAGAGGGATGTAGGGCTTTGGCACCTCCCACCTCCCTCCCATGCTGGCAGATACTGGCCCAACCACCTGCCTTGTGTTCTGTTTACTGGAAGCCAGCCCTGATTACCTGGGCCAGATTTGATTTTTTTTCATGACCCTAGTCCATGAACTGAGCAGCTCTGAGTGATTCCATAAGATCTGTTCCTCTGGAGGACTTTTTCTGCCTGCCTGCAGGAGTGTGCTTGATTAACTTGCCCATGTCCTCTGGGTCATTGCTCTCAAGAGGATGAGGACAGAGCATTTTCACATTGTGACCCCTCTTCAGGGCTCACACACAGTGAGAGTGCAGTGTTGGATTGTTTGACCTGAGAAAATAAGATTCATCCTGCAACTTCATGCAGGAATAGGGAAAGCAAATGGTGAAGGTGAGATGAAAAGTAGCAGCCAGGGCTTCTGATGCAACTGCTGGAAGAGAAAATTCTTATCAAGACACACAGAGGATGAGAGCAATGCAAGTAATGCAAGCAAATTAAAAGAAGCCCTTTCAACTTCATTTCATGTTTTGGATCAAACTGCACAAACAGATCTTGGCCCTCTGCCAGCTCATCTACCCACAGAAGCAGCTCTTGGGTGGCTGTACTTGCCAGCTGCAACTTCCAGCACCCTTGCTAACTTTCATCAGTTTCCTTCCTCTCTTTTTATTCCCCTTTCTATAATGTCATTGGTGTTGTTAAATGGGTCTTGGATCACCACATATTTCAGCAAAGAAAATTGTCCCAGTTTAGTTTTTTCATCACTTAGAGCCAAAGCAATCAATAGCCTGTGAGTAATTTTCATTTATTTTTACTTACTTATTCATGGCCTTGCTCACAGCCCCCAAGCCCTGAAAAACAGCAAAAGTATATATTTTTCCAGAAATTACCCCTTTTAATTTTTAGCATTAACAGGATGTGATTTCAGTGTGCTTTGAGCCAACGTGAGACAGTGCAGCCCATTGTTGTGACAGGAGAACCTGATTCCCTGTCTTAATATGCTGCAAAGTGCATGTGTAAATATCTCTACTGCACACTTTGGACTCATCTTCTACCCATGGGAAAAGCCATGGGGAGCAATCTTCAAGTGTTCCTGGAATTTTAAAAATTCACACTCATATAATCACTGTAAAAAGTGCCACGTGGTGGTCTGTCCTTGCTTGTATCATCATGGCTTGGCCTTTCCTGGTCTCTTTTATGAATGACAGGAAAGAAGTGAGGGGAAAAAACCAAGAGAAGGTGGCAGGTGGACTGCATGGATGAGCAAGGAGCTCCTACCTCAGACATGAAATGGATTCTACACACAAGAGGTGGAATCTGGTTGAACTTCAGGGACAGGGTTAGAGAAGTCAAGGCCAGCATGGAGTTGAATCTGTTAAGGGTTGTGAAAGTCAACAAGAAAAGATCCACAAGTGCATAAACACTAAAAGAAGAGGTAAATAAGAAAGACCTGCTGCTGAATGAATCTCGTGCTGTGCAGGGCCTTTGTCTACACAATGGAAGTTCTCTTTGTTAATGTCTGGTACTGACATTAACTGCTCCCATATAAATTTCAAGTCCTTACCTAAAAGAATAAGCATGAAAAAATGTATCAATATAAATGTTCCATCAACAACTAAAAAAAGTAGTCTTTAAAAAATAGAATAGAATAGACTAGACTAGAATAGACTAGACTAGAATAGAATAGAATATTTTAGTTGGAAGGGACCTACGTAGTTAGAATGAGTTTAACTGCCTGACCATTTCAGGGCCCACCAGAAATTAAAGCCTGGTATTTAGGGCACTGTCCAAATGCCTCTTAAACACGGACAGGCTTGGGGCATTGACCTCATCTTTGTAGGAAGAGTCTGTTAAGTGTTTGACTTCCGTCTCAGTAAAGAAATATTTCTGAATGTCAACTCTGAAATTTAAAAAAAAAATCAGAAATCTGTTGGCCAGAGTTAAGCATTTTTTTAAAATCAGAAACAAGCAAGAACCTCTACAAAACTAATAATTGAATAGTTGAAGTTATATATCACTGAAATGTAATTGAAAAAAAATTAATGGATAGTATACAACAATTTGTTTATTAGATGGGATAACTTGTTTAATTTAGAAAAAGTCTCTCATTATTCCAGTTAATGGTGCATGTTCCATTTTTTACTACATTGCTTTTTTGAATTTTATCCTTGTTGTACATATCTTTAAAAATATTTATAACAAGTAACACATTGTTTTTCTTTAAGTTGTGCTTTTGTTTTCTGGGGAAGAAAATAATGAAATTATAAATTCAGGAATGTATCCTCAATTTTGGGAGTATTTAGCATCAAACGAAACCTGACAGTCATTTACACTTCTCTTTCTCTTTTCCCATCTATTTATGTCAATGTCACATGTAGGATCCTTCAATTAAAAGTCAAAATGGCCAAAGTAAATTTTGCAATACATTCTATAAAACAATCTGTAGAAGACAGAGTAGTTGTGTACAAGTAAATTTATGATTAATTTTTTTTGATTATGTAATCCTTAAGACTATGTAAGGTTAGGATTCTCATGATTTAGTATACCTTAACATGCATCAACAGTGAATAAGATGATGTAATTACATAATTGCAGTATTACAGTCCTGTAATGTTAGGAAAGATTAGAGGCCAAATATAATTTCTGTGAGTTTCAGTTACTCGTCTTTGAAGAAGTCTGCTGTTTCCATCTGCCATGTGTATTTTGACCTAATTTTGACATTTCTAATCCTTTGGCACATTCCTTTTCAAAGCACCCAACACATCTGCCCTGGTCTTTCCTGGTAAAAGGTGGGGCTCCTGTCATCCTGAAATAATTGCTTTGCAGGTGAGGGCCTTTATTCACATTCTCTAAAATGGTGAAGAAGTTGAGAGGGATGCGATGGGAACTGATAGTGAACATATAAGGGGAAAAGGTCTGAGTTATTAAAGAATATATAAGCTGTTATAGGTAGGAAATGATGGTGGATTACATGGGAGAAGACAAAACCTAAATAGTCATTTTGTAATGCATTTCTGGAAGAAAACATATTTTACTAAAGTGCATCCTTCTATCTAGTTACTTTTCCCACACTTACATAAAAAGTAAAGCAGGAGACAACAAGAAACTTCAAACTAGTCACTGGTGTTTCCATTGCTAAAAAGAAAGAACAAGTAATGGAGGCAGTATAAAACCAGTAATCTTTCCTTTTCCCACCATAAAGC